CAAGAGTTGCTTCTATCCCATTGTGGATGAGGAGTAAGCCTTGGGCGAGCTTCTTTAGTAATTCCTATCCTTGCTTTTGTGGACCGTGATCTAGCTTGGCAATCGTATCAAACTATGTTGGAAAACTTTATCTTGAACTTATTTGCTTCCGCTTTATTTATCAAACTCGGTTTGTAATAACTTTTATTCGTACTCTGATGATGAAAAGTATCTGTGAACTTTATGTAATATGTGGCATGTATGTTGAATCCTGTACGATCTTGGTTGTTGTAAATCGTTTATCGAGACCCGTCGTGGTACTTGACGGACTACCGGGTTTATATGGGTTCAAGTATGACAGTGCGACCGCTTGCGGATTGCCATTGTACTTGTATTCTTATAAATTGGTCGGTTCTGCGACAATGGTGCCCCCTACTGACTTGGTTCGCCACTGCTTCACTGAGCCCTTTGGCGAAGGGTCACGCAGGAACCCTAGTGATCTTACGCCTACTGCTCGTGTGCTTGAGGCTATCATGAGGAGGACATTGCTTCCCAGAATGGGATATAGAGAGGGGTTGACTCGTATACAGCTATGGCTTATCAACTCTCTGATGCAGCAGACAGTCTTTGATATTTGGGATCTTCTTCTGTCAGAGATGGAGGACACTATAGCTAAGGGCTTCAGAGGTCATAGGCAGCTACCCTATGCTCACTAGATCACATTCCTTATCCACAAAGCAGTCACAGTGAGGCCGCTAGAGATGCTTGCTGAGTATAGTGGTGCTACGACAGAGTTCCCTGCTTATAACCTGACTCAAATGATTTGGCATAGTACACCTATAGCACCTAGTCAGCCACGCCATCATCCTGAGGTGCCAGAGACTACAGCCCAGCAGGATGATATTATTAGGGATATTGCAGCCACCGAGGAGGAGGAGCTTGCTCAGCAGGAGAGGATGGTCGAGAGCGACCGCAGCGACAGCTCAGATGATGACTACCTAGCTATCCCTCGGATGCCTCCTCAGCGACATGACCATGAGGCCGGCAGCTCCAATTTAGCGCCACCTACCCCATAGACAGACCCCGCTCTCCTTGCTATACTTGAGCGGATGAGGCAGGACCAGGCACGCCAGGCTCAGGAGACAGCTGCTACATTTGCATAGTTCCAGACTCGGCAGGATGAGTTCCAGCGACAGCAGCAGGCGATCCAGCAGCAGCAATTGGCTATTCAGCAGCAGACACAGGCTCTACAGAGCAGCAGCAGCAGCAGGCCATGCATCAGCAGCAGATCGTCATGCATCAGCAGCTACTTGGATTCATGCAACATGTTGTGATAGCTATTGGGGCTCCACCGCCACAGCCTTCGCCCCAGCTTGGTCAGCCTGCCACTACTTCTATGACTCCAGCATTACAGCCTAGTGGGCTTCAGAGTCAGGGACAGCCACCAGCATAGTTTGCTTCTCCTACAGAGCAGGTGTCCCAGTATTTTGCTTCGCCAGTGCTAGCCCCGCAGTTCACACCTTTTCAGACGGGCTTCACACCGGCTGAGACGTCCTCGCTGCTTGTGCTAGAGACTACAGTGTCCAGGAGCCTTGGTGCTTCTTTCAGTGAGTTGACAGGGCAGCCTACTCCGCCGTATTTACATGTCCTAGGTCCTTCTATTGTTGCACCTATTACCAGGACTACAGAGACGCTCCCTTCGTCAGTGACATCATCAGAGCCCGCTGCTTCAGTCATACCAGCACATCCTACAATAGCTCCAGTCCCTGATCCGACCTAGACTGCTACAGCATCGCTTCTAGCTATAGAGGGTCAGATAGCTCAGAGCTCAGGATCAGATGATGATAGCACCCGGTTCCAGCTCGCTCCTCGTACCTCAGTGCTCGGCTCGTCCGCTATAGCCCCACCGACCAACCATTAGGTTTTGGCGTTTGACGCCAAAGGGGGAGAGGGTTCGAGTATGCTAGTCTTAGGGGGAGCGACATATTTAGGGGGAGCTTGGTTATTATATTAGCTTATCTATTACATTTGGAATTTTTATGTGTGATACACTATTATGCATTCGTCGTGTGTCTACTTGTTATGCATTAAACTATATTTATGTGATAGTGATATCTACGTGATCGTGATATATGACATGTGTGATCTCTACTTTGAATTATTTATATGTCATATCACTTGTGCTATGCTCATTTGCTTTTGCTTCCGTGTTTTACTCTGATGCGAATGAGCTTTATTACTTGTACTCATGCTCATTTCATATCATTTGAGTATATCATGTTGGCTTGGGTCATATAAGCTTGACTAACACCTTTGTTCTTATTGCCAAAAGCTTATATGATCTAAGCATGTTAAAAACCTCAACTCTTTCACATACTCGAGGTAGTATTGTCATCAATCACCAAAAAGGGGGAGATTGAAAGCATCTAGGCCCCTAGTTGGGTTTCGGTAATTAATGACAATACAAGATTACTATGACTAACGCGTGTTTTGCAGAGACAATTAAGTTATGTCATGGTAATGGAGATCGATTGGGCAATCAAGGTGGTCATGCCCCTACGATGGAAATTGTTTCAGTTTTCAAAGGATGGACGACAAGGTTAAGGATGGACTAGTTCTAAGTGTCGATTGAAGTTGGAGAGATACTTAGAGTAGTTTAGGACTTTATTTTTTCTTTGGCCGTACTATTAAAGGGGTATGGACGGGTAGCTTGACCTAGGTGAGTCTAGTGAGTTAGGTGTGGTGCACACTTGTTTAAACTAGCACTAGATAGCTCCAAAACAGCCCTTAGATCCAATGGAGCAATCTTCATTCACATATGATCGAGAGTTGGAAGTGAATGGAGGGTCAAATACTGATCGGACGCTGGTTCCGGATTGACCGGACACTGGCACAGAGTCCGGTCAGTTCATTTGACCAAGGTGATATCGTCTGGCGCGACCGGACGCTGAGAGGTGAAGTGACCGGACGCTGAGAGCCAGCGTCCGGTCGACTCCAATAAGGTTCCAGAGAGGGAAAATCATGACCGGACGCGTTCGGTCAGTGCTGATCGAACGCTGGCCAGCGTCTGGTCACACTGTAAACACTGGAGTTTAGGGTATACTGACCGGAGCGTTCGGTCAACATGACCGGGGCATCCGGTCACCCCGCAGAGGCACATAACGGTTCGTTTTTCAGCCGGTGTTATAAATACAACCTCCACTCGTGTGTGGGGGTACTTTTGCTCATTCCAACAGCTGAGAAACACGTTTGAGAGTGCCAAGAAGAGCAAGGTCCTAGTGAGGTGATTGATATTTGAGAATCCCAAAGAGAGCCCTCATTAGTGAGATCAAGAGTATCAAAGTGTGCATCCACCCTTCTCATTAGGCTTGTCGTGGTCAAGTGAGAGTTTGTGCTTGTTACTCTTGGTGATCGCCATCACCTAGACGGCTTGGTGGTGATTGGGAGCTTGGTGATCATCCGGAGAGCTTGTGGATGACCCAACTCAAGTTGTGAGCGGTTGTGGGTGATTCACCGCCACGGAGTGTCAAAGAATTAACCCGTAGAGAGCATTTGATCCTTGCGCGGATCAAGGGGGAGCTACACCCTTGCGCGGGTGCTCCAACGAGGACTAGTGGGGAGTGGCGACTCTCCGATACCTCGGCAAAACATCGTCGCGTTCCTCCTTCTCTATTTACTTTGAGCATGTACTTTGAGGATTTACTTTGAGCAATTCAATTCTTGTTTTTACATTCATAGAATTGACATGCTAGAATTGGATTGGAACTTAGGTTGCAAGTCTTTTGTGCGGTAGAACAACTAAAAACACTTTCTAGGCACAAGGGGTTAATTGGGCTAACCATATAATTTAATTATTGCAAAGAAAATTAGAATTAGCCCAATTCACCTCCCCTCTTGGACATCTTGATCCTTTCAGAGGCCAACAAATGAGGCTTGTTCATTTGGTGGTGCTTCACAACCGGGTCTAAACTTCAGAAAGGTTGTAGAGGTGTGGCCTTTCAAACTATGCGATGTGTGCGTTTTGTTTGCAGCTACCGGAACTGCTCGACCACATGTTGATTACTTGTGTTCACCTAGAAAACATGGTTCAAAGTCCTCTGGAGGTTCAGTTATTATGGCGGCTAAAACACCTTCCACCCAAGACTATTTAGTTGCACCGCATGGTGGCTAACTGTGCATAGCTAGACAAATCCAACATAAGGAGATAGAAAGACATTTGACTTGGTAGTTTTCTATAATCAATTGGAGTTTGTGGAATGGAATAATGCTCTGATTTTCAGAGGTCAGGCTATGCAAACCTATAGGTGCTGGCGGCAAAGAATCATGACGAAAGCAATCATGCATTGGCACAGGGCAGGTGGTGGTGGCAGCCTTGCCCAATGGCGTACAATAGCTAGCTGGACAACCACTCTTAGTTTTCCATGCATGTTTTCATTTCATTTAGTGTTCCTTCTTGCCTTTGTGTTCTTTGTAGTTGTTGAAGCTTGGGTTGGTTGGGTCGTTAGCCTTTGATGTAATGATCTAGTACTGATATTTCTAGTAGCGTACGTGTGCACATTCTCAAAAAATAAAAAGCATCAAAGAGGCTGATGCAATTAATATCTGGACGGGAACAAACTGTCGTGTTTCTATGAGTAAGTAGTACATATATTCGAGGCTCCTTGCATGCAATAGCCCGTTGATCAAGCTAGATGTATCCGCATCATATATGCACTAATTAACACACAAAGATCAAATACATTTGCAGTTCCACATTCATTCAATCAACATTTGCACTACCTCATTGGGCTCCTAGTTCATGGACATTATTCTCTGATAGTTACCTCTAATGATCCACTGTTAAACACTAGATATCAGTTACACCACTGCATGTACATGTACATTGATGAGAAGAGAACATGTTCAGCAAAACAATGGGATGATGTACAACAGTACAAGAACTGATTTCTACTAGGTACAACATTTGGATGGACAGATGCACATTTTACCTTAGCAGGAGATAATTTAAACTCATGTCAAGCTTAAGCAGAATTTTGTCTAGTCGACGAATATGATGCTGCAAGGAGCGCAGCCCCAATCCCTGAACCCTCCTCCATAACTCTAAGACTAACTGTGGAGGCGATATCATCCCCTAGGATCTCATCCACTGCTTCGTTCAGATACTCCCTAAAGATAGAATAGCCTTGGTAGAGACCACCTTCAATCGCGACAACCGATCTCTTTGGCTCACCTCTTATCTTTCGAACAAAGGTGGTGCCACAAAGAGTTCCATCACGACCAATTTTTTGTAGTACTGCAACAATCCCAGCAGCTGCTAGACGGGCGGCTCTTCGGGTGACAATGTCACATATTCTAACAACAAGTCTTCGAGTCTTCAGTGGAACATCTTGTATCTGTAAGGAGAATGATGTAGTTGATGAGATGATTGTCCGATTAAAATATACCATATTAACATATAAACATTGTTTCATATGAGCCAAGTAGTAGTGACAACTAACCTTCAGATGTTCTTCGAGCACCCTACCAACTACTCTAAGATCTGGGGAATCATCCTCACGAATAGCAGCTAGAGAAGGTGTACTGGATGGCAAGAATAGAGAGATGTCAAGCCAATATCACAACAAAAGGATCAGAACAAAAGTAAAACAATGGAGCAAAGTGGAACATATTGGGGAAGCTTATCTATAAAACAATGTATCAGATTTAGTGTAAAGATTAGGCATACCGCATCGATTTTATATTTCAGTAGCAACTAGCAGTATGAAACTATTAACAAAGAAGAATCATATAGGAATAAATATAACTTTGTAAGATCACAATATAACTAGAAAAATACAAGTACCTGAATATGAAAGGGGTAGATAAGCAATTCACAGAAGAACCAAATAAATCTGATTCTTGAGCCATTCTTTGGAATACCAATCTTGCAATTTCCCCAAGATACACACCAGAGATCATTTTCTCAAAAGCCTATATATGCATCCAAGGTGCCAGTTTCAGATTCATTAACACAAGCCTCTTTAGCTTGATTTTCACAAACAATGCCACAATGGAAAAGCTTTAATAAATTCTTACTTGGTCATAGTGATTGCGTTCTGCTTCACTGGAACATATGTCAAAAGGAGTTAATGGTACTTGCGGAGACCGGAAACTACCCCATTCTACATTGACAACCTAATGAATAGAGCATATAAATTAATAGTATAAGCTACAATAATATTTTCACATTGAAAATTTATCAAATCAAATTAAAGAATACAAATAAAGAAGATAATACAAAACAATATTACCGTTTGGTCGGAATCGGTAAGAAGACCCCGACATTTTGCGATAGCAGCATTGCGTTCAATATAGGAAGCATTGGTACCAGCTCCTATAATCACTGCAGCAACTGTATCCTCATCATAATAGTGCCCCATGGCCAATGTACCCACAGCATTGTTCACCTATTTTGTAGTAGCAGATGAAATTAAAGAAAGATATGATGAGTATATTATTATATACTTTAGTGAATAATAAATTGCAGGCGACAGACTTGAAAAGCAAATTTGCTACACTCAATCAAGAAGCACATATTTATTCATTAATTACGAGATATAAGATTATTATAAGATTATGTCTGCAGTTCACAAAATCAGGAACTAAATGTCCATTTTTTTAGTATCATACAACATGCAAAGATCTAGATCCAACACTGGTATTTATTTGAGCATAGATACATATTAGAATTGGTTGTAATATATATCTTTATTATTTAAAAGCAAGCCACAATCATGTCCATGGAGACAACAATAAAAAACAATAATCTCTTATCATTTCCGTCTGTTGCACACACTAGAAAACAGTAGTACTTATGTGTTTAAGCAGCTGTTATCAAAATATTTACATCACAGACAATTCTTATACGTGAAAGATTATCTGATAGGATTTTTAGATAGAACAGATAATATTTCAATATTTTCCAAGAGATAAGAAGGCTAACTAAGACAGCACATGCATACAACAGAGATAAACGATGGAACCAATCAAGTAGGATTTTTTTATAAATGGAATTAACTTTCTGAATCTAAATGCAAACTAGCTCATGTAGCAGCAATGTTTTAAATATCCATATGTCATTTAGCCGAGGGCCCCTCACTAGCACAGAAAACTTATCTAAGGTGGTAAAAAATCAGACTAATAGCAAAGCTAAATGAGACTATAGCGAGCGATTGCCATTAAAAATTATACATAAAGCATCCTGCCTCAAACCACTATATTGAAAACCTAGTTACACAGCAGAAGTAGTTAGGAACATACCAATGCAGTGACCTGCAAATTTAGTCCATTCCTAACAAGGGCTTCATTCAAGCATTGAGCAACATCTTTTCCAACCTAGTATTGCAAAAAAGTTCAAACAAGCTAGTGAGAAAAAAGAAAATTATAATCTCAGCTGTAATCACAGAGGCAACCGAGCAATACTTATTTTCTATGTGCTTCATCTATCGAGAAAGAAAGATAGAATTTAAATGTATAAGGCTACTAATAAGGTAGTCTAAGGATTGCATATCAAGTTATTATCAGCATGCAACAAGATACTATCAGCATATAATGTATATATACCAACAAGATATTAGTAGCATGATATCATGTCTAAATTTGAAACATCATCTCTTATAAAAGAAAGATTCAGCTATTTGAATGGAAACTTCACTTCAACCCATAACAAAAAGAAGAAGAATTGAAGGAATAACTTTGTAACTTACAGCCTCTTCAATTGAAAATTCCTTAGTCCACCTAATTAATGACCCTGAGGATATGGAAACTTGTCGGACAGGGAAGGAAAATGTAAAACCAAGTGCCCTTCCCTCATCGTCCCCACCCTCTCTTTCAATAAAGTTCTTTAATGCCAAGGCAATTAGATTGAATAAATCCTAAACAAAGAGTTACATTAGTATTAGGAACAATATAGATCTTGCAAAGGAACTGAAATAAAATGATGATAGTTACCTCGCTTGTACCCTTGGTCAAGTCTTCTGGAATAGGTCGATGCTCAACTTTTTTATTGATAACCATAGATCCTGAACCAAGCTCTAGTCTCATGACTCTAAAGCTTGTCCCCCCAAGATCAACAGAGTAATAGATGCCTTCCTCACTCCTGCCCATCACATGTATATATGAATAATTATCTGATCAAAGATCCATATGCTAAAAATCATGTCATATAAGACTCGATTAAGTTGCCAATTGGACATCTCGATTCAAAGAAAAGAAGGCATTAACATAGAAATTCTATGCAGCTAATATAATGCAATATCCTGCTGCATCAAATTGCCTTAAGTGTTTTAAGAGGCAAAACATCGTCACTATATAGTGTCGTGTGTCGACTCAGACACTGCCTTCAGAAAAAGATTTCGACCAATTTTATAGAAAGTTTCAGTGAAAATTAGTCCCACAACAATTGTGTCGTACTGCAAGATGAACCAACATGCAAGATGACAACCGACTCGAAAGTTTGCTGTGTTATATACGGAGTTCTAGTCTGTCGTGAGCATCATATGGACCAATTTTTTTTTCGAGGATCATAAGCACCAAATGTTTGCTCGTGGCCGTGACTTTTTGAAGATACAGAGAAAAAGAATAAGAAATGCGGATAAATTGGTGCCAATAAAGAATGAACCAGGTTAAGACTGCATTCTCGCACGCAGAAACTTCGCAAATTAGCAATTGCAAACTCATTTCATTTGGCTAGAACCCTAGCATGAAGCCATGAACCCTCCCATGCATGAACACCACAAAAACACTGAAGCAGACCGAGGAGAAACAGAACGAACAAAGGGAAGCGCAGGCGTGGGCACGACCGTTACCCACTTACCCGTCGGGGAGCGCGTCGACGCAGGTGAGCAGCATGCGGACCTTGCTGGCGCCCTCGGACGCGAGCCCCGCGAACATCTCGACGGACAGGGAGTTGACGATCCGCTGCAGCCGCTCCGTGGGCGTGGCGCAATCCTCCTCGAACCCGCGCACCACCGCCACGGCTCTGCTCCACCGAGACCGCGCCACCGCCCGCCTCGTCACCAACGCCGTCGCCGCCACGCACGTCACCGCCGCCACGCAGCCCAAGGCCACGCTCAACCACTGCGCCTTCCCCATCGATCCCTATCTCCTGACCTGATCGATCGCGCGCGGCCCCTCTTACTCCGGTCCGCCCCACCCGCGAGCTCGAGCGCTAGCGCTATCGCCGGAAGGTGTTCTACGATATGGCTGGCTGAACTGAGACTGCGATCGGAAGGAGCGGGGGAAGCGCGGCCGCGGCGAGCCAGCGGCGGGCGAATAAATAGGCGAGGCGAGGAAAGGGACGGGGGCGACGTGGATGCTGTGTAGTAGGCATGGAATCCCTGCATTTATTTCCTTATATCTTCTCTTGTAGTCTAAGTTTTGGATCATAATCAATACGTGCTTTCCATAGTTTGTCCTCCACAATCCATAAATTTGGAAGCACTCTGCCCACCAGATACTCTACTCTGATTTTTGCATGTTTATTATTATTATTATCTCTTTCATAGGTACAACATTAATTTCAACAATCTTTGGGAAGAAAAATGATTTACTATTTAATTATTAGTGATATAATTTAGTACTATATTGGTAGGAGGAGGAAGTTTTTTATTATGCAAATAAATGGTGCGTATATCTTGTAGTATCAGAGTTTTATAAAATATATAGTACTACTTCCATAGCATTTAAAGCTATCAATTCTATCAGTAGATCGATATAGCTAGACTCTTATCATAGTATAATTTTATGAGATTTATTATAAACACTTTTTTGTGAATAAACACTTTTTACTGAAATATGATGACTCATTTGCATGAGATGCATGATTCCAAGTTCTTTTACCCCACTAAAAAAATGTTTTCCACCGAACGGTTCCTAGGAGGTGAGAAGGACCCTGACTCCATCCGAAACAGTATACTATCAGCCATATTAGGCAATATCTACCTACACAAGTTCGATAAGGAGATAGGGAGGATCCGATAGAAGCACGAAATCACATGTAGTGAAAATAAGATCGTTTCTATTAAGAATAAGTCGTTGTACTGACAATTAAAAAAATATAGAAAAGAAGCAAGCTTCAACGCTCCCCAAGATAACGGAGCCCTCATAGCGGGGAGAGTAGAGAGCATCCAGCACAAAGTGGCCTTAACCCTTTTTTTGCGAGGAGATGTGATGTTAACAAATGTAATATTATTATACCAACAACAAAGGGCCGTAATAATTTCCTTGCACAAGGGTAGTTGATTTTTTTTCGAAAACGCAGGAGAGCTGCACTTCTTTGCATTATAGAGAGAGAAAAGAGTAGTTGATTTTTAGCTGTAGAATCCATGGCCAAACAAATTCATAATCATGTCGCCAAAATATAGAGCGGGCATCCTTTTGTAACAAACATTAATTATAGAATCTGAATCTTATATATAGGAAATTTTTTTATGGGGACATTTGGAACAAAAGGTTGAACTTTTAAAATTCCAACAAAATTCACTCGGAATATTAATGACTTGTTCCATAAGAATTTAGAAGGATTTCTAACATGAGGCTTTGTGTATTAGAAGATTATTTGTGTCTATCTTTCTCTTTTGATTTCTTGTGTTTTTTATGTTTCTCCATCCAATAACTCACTCATACAATGTTTCATGTGCCTTTTGTCTCTTAGAATTTAAGCTGCAAGGACACTTTAATCATGTGTTTTTGATATTACTATGTTTTGAGAATCATGTGTTTAAAGGAGGTCTTAAATTAGTCCTTGTACAACTCATTGAACGACACTTAGGCTATGTTTGGTTCTGCTTCTTGAAAGTGCTTCTACTGCCAAAAAGCATAATGCTAACCAAACATGTAGAACCTAAAATTGCTTTTTCTAGAAGCAGCTGCTTTCACATAGTATAATTTTTATAGCACCTTGGACCTTGCTTTTGGCTTTTAGCTTTCAGCCTTTCCTAATGGGTGGAAATAGAGAGATGTTTTACAGCTATTTCAAGGGAGAAAAGAAAGGGGGTAGGTTTTATAGTTGTTTCATCCAAATAACTTATAGATTTTTCACAACACATATATAGCTCACAAGAACTTTTCCATGGCTCACAACCCATAGCAACTTCTCCACAGCTCACAAAAACTTCTTTACAACTCACAGTTGAACCAATATAGACACTTAACATTGCTTATGCTTTTCTCAGAATTCAAGACTACAAATGAATGAAGAGAAGTCCTATTTCACACGAACTATATTATTTGTAGCTTCTGTTTTTTAAGCCACCTCCCTTCCCAAACACTAGACATTTTTCAGGTTCTCTAGTAACCACCTATCCATCGATTGTTCTCGATCTCTTTTTTTACCATAGTTTGCTTCTTGTTGTTTGCCCTTATTCCTCCATTAGTCTATGGCACTGAACTTGCCTTGCTACCACTAACAAACACCCCATCCCATGAATTGTGATTGATCAATCAGCTAATGACGACCTAGAGTGCCCCTCCGTAGGATGCCATAGAGTTCACCTTTACTAGCCACCACTGAGATTCTCAAAATTGCCCCTCCCTTTGCCTTAAACCTCCCCTTCGCTAGATTCCCTGCACCTCTCGAGTGCCCCTTTGCCATCGAGATTCCCCTCCACCACCCAAGCTCTTCTTTGCCACCATGATTCCCTCAACCGTCGGAGATCCCCTCCATCAAGATTCGCTCCTCCACCCAAGCATCCCTCTGTTATCAAGATTTCCTCCATTGATCGAGCTTCCTAGCGCCATTGAGTTTACCTCCATGAAGCACAAAACCATGTCCAACGTGGTCTCCATGGTGGCGCTGATGCTAGTGGAGTATGGCCTCATTTCATGGTGTGATAATGAGGCTGAGCTCTCCCCTCTTGACAACTTGTGGGTTCCATAGGAGAGCACCCATAAAAATGCATAGCTTCTATGGGTAGACAACAAAATGTTAGTTCCAAAAAAGGCCTAAGCCATGCCAAATAGGGTTGACACCTGACGCGTTAAGTGCTCCAACCCAATATAAAAAGAATGTTGTTGGGTGCATAATAGTCATTGCGTCTCACATATGCTTAGATGTGCTCTTGGTTCTTGAAGTTACCTAAGCATCTATGAAAAAAATTACATTGAAATGTAGAGCTCCTTTGCATAATGCTTAACTTTGTGGTGTTGTATTTATTTTCTCCTTAAGAACGTATACAAGTTCATTTGCATTATACATGCTCTTAGACTTTATCATCTTTTTAGATGAAAACCTTACCTACATGCAAATTATTTTGCTTCCTCCTTATCCATGCAATTGAATGGAATTTACCAAGCTAAATGAAAATAGATGTTCACCTCTGGGCAATAATAATGCCTGTCCAGTTGGTCTGACACCTTAAAGAAAGCTACATTTTAAGTTTAGAACATATGCCAACCTTCTAGATACCTTATCATAATGATCAATAACCATATTGTAAATACCTAGGTTATAAAGACTTCTAACCAAGAAAGTTCAAGTCTTCGCATGACACCTTGCAATAAGATCAACATGTCCATGCATCGGCAAATTGACATTTGCAATCTCATGCACATCTAGCATGTAAAATACATCCATAATCCATGTATGGGTGTTTCAATCAATGTGATATGAAACCCACCTATCCAAGTTACAAGATTTCATACCAATAAGAGACAAGGAGGATGTTTCTCTTTGAATCCAATTATTGCACCAAATTCATCGAACCATCCTCCACCTGCCAAATCACATTGTTTTGAGGTTGTCCCTCAAAACACAACATCAATAATGTTCATATTTCCTATAAATAGAATATTATTAAAATGTTCATGACCTTCAGTTAGCTTTCATAATCCATGCACAAGTTAAATACTTCATGGACAATTAACTAACCTTCGTATGCAATAAGATACTAGAGCTTGATTGAAGAGACGAAGGTCTAGAAACCCAATGACATGTCTATTACTGCATAGTTTGAACTTGTTGGTATATTTTACACGCACACTGATTAATCCGCAAGCGCACGGATACCGCTATAGCTTTCACCTAGGAGTATTCCAAGTATCATATCCACAGGGAAACGTGTGAGATTAACTACAGTCTAACTTAACTAGGGGTAGCAACAAGGCTAAGGATAAATAGGAGCGTAGAGAGAATCGCTAAGGTTTTCTAATTTTAACTTGGTTAAGCTATGTCTTCTACTATTCAACTGGGGATATTACTAAGAAAAGACACCAACAGAGGATGCTTTCCGGCGCAACCAGGTCCTACTCGTCCTACAAATAGGAGGTGGACTACAAAGGACTCAACGGGGCTATATAGTCACCCTCGTGATCTACCACCGGTTCAGAATGCAGGGTGCATCCACAAGTAATGAAAGTCTAAGCACCACGCTTACACTACCGATTACTACTTTACACTCTCTAGAACAAGAATAAAGCACTCAAAAGAGTCACGAACCTGATGAATAATATAAACATGAAACTTATTTGAATTAGAAGTTGATTACCAGAGATATCTCAGAAGCAAGCCCAAGTAGAACTTAATTCCACCAAGGTACAAGCCATAGAGAGAGCACCGACAGGCCGGCACTTCCTCCAAACTCTTCCCTCACTCTCTATCTCACTATATCTATTTACAAAGGCTCGATCCTAATGTGGAGGACTATTCTTCTCTTGATTGTTGACGTACCCCCTAGAGGAGGGGGTATGGGGGGCCTTATATAGGGGCACTAGGAGTCCTATGGGCCCATGAATCCAAGGCAACGTCAAATCTAAGCCCTCGATACGAACCGACCTTGAGCAACGGTGGAGATGGACTCTCAAAGGTGGTGGGAAACCGACGTAGCGAGGAGGGGCTGACCTGTGGGACCCATAGGTCGGCTGGCCGGCCCCTCCCTATAGCCTCTCGGGTTAGGTTGTGGTGTATTGTCTTCTAGATGCTTCTAGGACCTTCCTAAGTTGGTTTCATTGTGGATAAACGTGATTTGATCTGACGATTGGGTCCACCTTGCTCATTTTCTGGATAGATCCTCCTACAAACACAGATTCACCAAAACTTGTGAATTCATTAGTTTAAACCTTATACCTATATTTGGTGATGGAATTAAGTATATATA